CTAATAAAAAATAAAGGGTCTTTGCTTTCTTTGTTAGTTGTTATTTTGTCGATGATAAAAATCCTGTTCAAAACAGTGATGAACAGGAAAGAGTACAATATCAAATATTACCAAGCATATATATGATTTTTTTTTTTTTAATCATAGTAATAGGCCAATATATTATACTAGTATATATTTTTTTATTACATAAGTAATTTTTTTGTAGAAAGTGAAGAAGGTGTATTTGTAAAAAAAGAGAAGGCCATACTTGAGAAAAAAAAATATATATATAAGAAAAGCAAAAGTGTAGAACTTGAAAAAAACAGAAATATAGAATTTGAGAAAAATGATGAAAAAGCTGCACTTGAAGATTATAAAGAGGTCATACTTGAAAAAAATGAAGAGGCTACACTTAAAGAAAATGAAGAGGCCATGCTTGAAGAAAATGAAGAGGCCATGCTTAAATTTTATATGTCTTAATCCTTAACTACTAATGAAAAATATGTATTTCTCTTTAATGTTGGTAAACCATTTGAAGTTTCAGTGCATGATTTTGATAATAAATAGTGGCTGCTTATTTCAAATATTTGGACCAGGTTTAGCTACAAAAATCATAATAATGGTAATTCATAAAAAGCTTTCACTTGCCAGCTTATGAAACATAATCATTCAAGTAATTAAAAGAAAGGTATCTCTCTTGAAAAGCATAGGAAGACAAAAATCTGTTTTCCTAACTTGTGCTTTACAAAAATCTGAGTGTTGCATTTTGTTGGAACACAAAAAGTGCAAATTGAATGATACAATAACAGCCTTGACCATATGCATATACTTGAGGAAAGTAAAGTGTTAAAGCATTCAAATGCAGTTTGAAAATTAGTAGAAGAAAAAACAGTCAAGAACTACCTACTACCCACTATTGTGAGTGCAATCAAAGATTATACAATCAGAAAGTTGGATTTGGGTGCAAGTATTAAAAAGTTAAAACAAAAGGATATTTCAAATATTAAGCAAAAGTTTGTAAAGTGCAGAAAAATAATAAGTTTGGTAATAATATAAATATAAAATCTAACATTGCAAAATGTATTCATTTTTTAAAAAAATAAAGGTTAGGATCTTTTATTTTACTTATATATATGGGCTTGGTGCTAAAAAAGAATTGAAATTGGCAAAAATATTCTTCTACAAAAAATTAATTATCTCATGAACTAGTTCATAAGATAATTAATTTTTTGTAAAAGAATTTTTTTGTCAATTTTAATTCTTTTTCTAGCATCAAACTTATATTTATTTATTTATTTATTTTCTTATTTTATTTATTTTATTTATTTTATTTAGTTTATTTAATTTATTTTATTTATTTTATTCATTTATTTATTTTAAGAATATAATGTTAAACAATATAACAATATGAGTCGATCTATCTATGGTATAGTTTTTGTGCACTTACTTTAACTCGTTAAGCTCGAACAACATGGATGGTTAACTCTGATCGATTTGATGCACAAGATAAACAAATATGACTATCACCTATTTACTTTGTATATAAGAAATACATATGGGTGCTAAGATGTTAGTGCCCACTTTTTTGTTAATAAAGAAGATAGTGAAATAGTTGCAGATGCCTTAAAAATTATTAAGTGATTTGGACATCACTGGAATCCCTAATATATTCTTGTTGACCAGAGCTATGTTAAGGCTAATAGCATTAAAAAAGTATTTTCTGGTCTTTATGGTGGTGAGCAAAAGTGTGCTATAATTTTCTGTATAGTCTATATAATGTGAGTATGAATGAACAAGATATATGAAACCAAAGCCTGAAGCTTAATAATTCAAGCAATGCATAAAACTATAAAAATAGGTTGTAAGAAGCTCATTCAGCAGACAATTTGTGCATGTCAAATTTCTGATATAAAAAACTATATTATATGAAATTACATGAAAAATTCAAATTAATGAGCCCTCTGGGCATAACAACATTTACCTCTCCTATTGCAAGTAACTTCAACCAACCCTCCAGAGTCCTATCATAGTAATTTAAAACAAATAACATCATCTAAGCATGGTATTATAGGTATAATACAAAAGATCAGGGTTTTAACTTTTTATTATTTAATATAAAAAAATTTTTTATATGTAAAATAAATTATTTATTTTTTTAATAATTTTTTTATATAAATTTTTTTTATATAAAAAATAAAATACACATTTTTATTATAATTATATTATTAATTTTGCCCTTTACAAAAATAAAGTTTACTTCTATTAGGTGCATGTTATAAAATTATTGACCTGAACATCAAAAGACACTCAATCTCAGAAAACATAGTCTTCAAATTTCGAATTAAACAGATTTCTGTTGTTGGAATTGATAATAAAATTCTTAGTGAGATTCACAAGTTCCTCTATCCCATCTAGCAGTTAATTGTTACTGAAGCCTGTGCTGTTGAAAAAAGAATTGAAAAGGGTAAAGAAATATCTAGTTTGACTTCAATTAATTGTTTTTGCTTGTTTTTTCACCAGTACTTACTTCTCTGCCAACATATATTTTATGAACATATGTATAGTGATAAACTATTAACATCAAGTGTATAGGTACAATTTCAACAAATGTTTATGGAGAATAGATTTGAAATATATGAACACTGTAAAGTTGTGGAAATTGAAATACCTAAAAGAACAGAAGCTGAAAAGGCTTTGAAGAATTGATATTTAGTTGTAAATAAACTAATGAAAAAAACCCATAACACATATTGGAGAGTAGAAGATAAAGGAAGCTTGAAAGAAAAATTAGAATTTATTAAAAATTTAAAAAGTTCTATAGAACCTATTTTAAATAAATAAAATAACAGTTTTTATGAATATGTATACATACCTATTTATTCCCAGTTTTATACTTCTAACAACTGATTCCCATGCTTATACACTTAAGTTTTTTATAAATAGTTCATTAAAAAAGAAACTATTTATTAAACAAAAAAAAAAAAAAAAAAAAAAAAAAAAAAAAATTTTTTTTAAAAAAAAAAAAAAAAAAAAAAAAAAAAAAAAAAAA